CATACTAGTGGGGGAGCTATGGGCTTGGGGCAGCTGTTGGCCCATGAGATAGAAAGCCAGAACTTCAGAGGCCATAGGATCAAAATGATAGAAGAAAAGTGGGTGCACAGGAACCTGTTATGTTTGGTTTCGAATGCAAAACAGCCAGTAAGCCTAATTTACATGTGATAGTGGCAGGTGAGGATGCCTCTACTAAGTGCCCCCAGTGTCGTTGTGTGCAGGTGACCTCATGGCAGGGATGGAGGGTGGTCGGCAAATTCAGATGTGGGCCCCCAGCTCCCTGGTCTCAGGAGAGGGTTGGAAGGGCGTCTTACTTGGAGGCAGCGAAACCCCACAGTCCTCTCCAATGATGAATTCCCCGTAGAAGCCAGTCTGGGCAGGGTCTAGAAGGGACCAGTCCTCTTCCGAGAAACAGAAGATCATGTCCTCGAAAGGAGAAACCCGTTTCTGAAACCACAGAACAACAGGGATGCCTCAGTCCAAGGACAAGCTAGGGAAGGGTCGCTGCAAACAAGGGAAAGAGCTGGGGCTGAGGGCACACACCTCCACTGTGTGTGCACGGGAGAGAGCAGAAAGCTGCTCTCCAGCCCTCACCTGGGATCCACCTCCTTCCTATCTGGTTTGGCCGAATGCAAACCATGGTGACTCTCTAGTGGCCAAGGTTGTGGGCAGGGCACACAGTCCCAGGCAGCTAATGAAGACCGAGACACCACCAGGCTCAGCCCAGCAAATGCCACGCCATTTCTAGAGTTTATTTTGCACATATGCAGTGTTAGGTCTGGATCAGCCTAGTCACAGCAGCATTGATAATCACAGATAATACTATATTATCAATACATTTTGATCATAGATAATAAAGACTGAAGATGCTGTTTATAGCAGAGAAGAATGTTCCCACTGATGGGCTCTCTGCCCAACACCAGAGCATGGATGAACTCCAGGACAGTCTGGCAGGTTCAAGCAAACTCCCATTAGGAGCGAGGGTCCTCTCTGCATGACCAGAAAGCCCTCCAAGCTGTGTGTCACATGATCTAGACTACTCAACGCACAAAATGTCCAGAAGTCTGGATCACCAGCAGCTTAGCAGTGGGACCTGGGGTAAGGCTCGGCTGGGAGACTTCGCTTAAACTTGAATCACAGACCATGGTAATATGTCAAATTAATATTAATTTAATTAATTAAAAAATCTTTCTATGGAGAGTTTTTTCTTTATTGAGAAACTTAAGACTTGGATACATCAAATAAAACCAATTTCTGGGGGGGGGGGCGGGGAGAGGAGGATCAAAACTCACAACAGGGGGGAAAAAAAGTTAACACTGCCTGAGCTGTAGCAGAACCCAGAGAATACATTCTTTTAACTAAAAAATTCTAGGTGCTTCATAATTGACCTTTTGGTACTAAACGACCTATTAAATTTGCAATTTGTGGTTCTTAGTGTTGAGGTCCATAGGACAAGCTAGGAAGTCTTCAAACCTTGAGCTGAATTTCATGACGGGTTATTTAGCTTCTGAACCGTTTTTTCCTTGCCTAAGAGGTAGCAGCAGCAACAGTGCCCACCTGGGCAGCTTCTTTCTTGGCATGATAAGCCTGTAGAACCGCCACAGCTTCATCCACCTCAGAGCAGAGAGACTTGGGGGACTCCAGGATGTGCAGCAGCTCAGAATTGTCGATCATTCCCGTAATCTTTCCAGCCAGGTTCGAATGCATGGTTTGGATGAGAATGAACAAACGTTCGCCCAGCATCTGCTTCTGTTCCTGGGGGGGTGGGGGGGTGGTGCTGCGGCCAACATGGAGGCAGTCAGGGGCTCCTGCCCCTGCACATGGACCACAGGCTGAGGTGCCTGCAGAGGTGGTATGGCAGGGTGAGGGCTGCAGACATTGGAGGCATACTTGTAAGGTGCAACAGCCCGAGGAGCAGCTGCAGCCACAGCGGTGCAAGGTGCTAAGTTCTGCACAGCTGTGGGAACACCTCCAGACCGGCAGCTGTCAGTCAGCCCTTGCTGGGTGGCACCAGCCCCACCAAAGTCCATAGCCAAACGGTCTGGGCACTCAGACCCGACTCTCTGAGCAGTAGTAGGGAGGCCACGAGAGGCCGGATCATTACCAGTTGGAGCCAGATGGCGAAGAGTTGGACGAGGCTCAGACTGGTGTACAGCACTTGGCATTCCTTGGAAGCCTTGCTGCCAGCATGGATTAGGTCACATCTGTGCTAACTGGTTAGGTATGTAATATGGAGGCCTTCTCTGAGCCTGTGGAACTGCTGGCACAAAGTAGCCACCAGCTGCAGGTTGGAACTGATTTAAGATGGCATTGGCAGGGAGTGCTCTCATTCCGGCCACCCTCCGCATATACAGTGGCTTGGAACCCATGATGCATCCATTCATCACAGTGACTGCTTTGGTGGCCTCTTCAGGAGATGAGAAGCAAACAAAGCCAAACCCTTTGCTTCTCCCATCCTCCAGCATTACCTTAGAGCTGGTGATGGATCCGAAAGGAGAAAACTTTCCATAACTTCTCATCGGCAATGGTGTTATCCAAGTTCTTAATGTAGAGATTCACCCCTGATATCGACTAATTCTCTCTTGCTTCAGCTGTTCAAATTTCTGTTTTAACTTGGCCTGCCATTCCACTTTTTTCTGTGCACAGCCTACAAAAATGACTTTCCCACTGATTTCTTTTCCATTCATCTCTTCACAGCCATATTGGCATCCTCGTGTGTGTATGTTTTTTAAATATATTTTTATTGACTTCAGAGAGGAAGGGGAGAGAAACATTAATGATGAAAAAGAATCATTGATCAGCTGCCTCCTGCGCCCACTGGGGATTGAGCCTGCAACCTGAGCATGTGCCCTTTACCGGAATCAAACCTGGACCCTTTAGTCCGTAGGCTCACACTCTATCCACTGAGCCAAACCAGCTAGAGCTATCCTCATGTTTTTTAACTCACAAAGCCAAAGTCTTTGGATTTCCCATCACCTTGACACTTAAGGTCTTACCAAACTGGCTGAACAGCTCTTTCAGAATCATCCACCTCTTCCCCTAATATGATATACATATTAGTCAACTCCTTGGCTTTGGCCCTCAAGTTCGGCTTCCCATTCTTTTTGAGACTTGAATCTGCCCACAAACACTTTGTGGTCATTGAGGAACATGCCGTTCCTCTTCTCGATGGCCTTGTCTGCAGCCTCTTGGGTCTCGAAGTGAACGAAAACATAACCCTTAGAGCTGTTCTTGTCACACACCACCTTGCAGGTCAGAATGTTCCCCAAAGCAGAAAAAGTATCATAAAGTGCCTTGCTATCTATAGATTTTTCCAGGTTCTTGATGAAGACGTTTCCCACACCAGCTTTTCTCAAAGAGGGATCCCTTTGAGATCACATGATTCGGATTGGCTTTCCCTTAATCACATCAAAGCTCACAGTATCCAAGGCCCGCTCAGCGCCAGCCAGCTGCTGGAAGTTGGCGAAGGCATAACTCAGCGAGCAGCAGGTGATCTCATTGCGGCAGACCCGGGTGGAAGCACAGGCCCCACA